ACGAATTTATCCAAGAACGGCCGGAAGATCATGTTCATGTAATCCATGAACACTACAGGGGCGTTGGTCACACCAAACGGCATCACGACATACTCATAGTGACCATACCTAGTCCTGAAAGCAGTCTTCGGTATGTCAGCCTCCTTCACCCTAATCTGGTGATAGCCCGACCTCAAATCGATCTTAGAAAACACCGATGCTCCCCTCAGCTGATCCATCAAGTCATCTATCCGGGGAAGAGGATATTTGTTCTTAATGGTCAACTTGTTCAACTGCCGGTAATCCACACAAAGACGACTACCCCAACCTTCTTCTTCACCAACAACACAGGAGCACCCCACGGCGAAACACTCGGCCGCACCAACTGCTTCTCCAATAGGTCTTCCAGCTGACCTTTCAAGTCAACCAGCTCGGCAGGAGCCATCCTATAGGGAGCCACCGACACTGGCCCCGCACTTGGAACCAGTTCAATGCTAAACTCCATCTCCCTAACAGGAGGCAACCCAGGCACCTCATCAGGAAATACCTCAGCAAAGTCTCTCACCACATTTATCTCAGAAATGTCCCTCTCAGTCTCCATACTCATCATAACAAGCAGAAGGCAGCACCCCGCTCCATCCCTCAGCATTGATTCAGCTTGGCCAGCTAAAATCAATAACTCATCCTCTTCCTGTAGAAAAATCAACCGCCTATTGGCACAATCTATAAGGATACGATTGGCAGATAACTAATCCATCCCTAAGATTATGTCAATATCAACCAAAGGCAAACAAATCAAGTTTACCTTGTACTTCTTCCCATTCACAACAATAGGGCAATTAGCACACAGCTCAGAAGCAACTACTGAAGCAGAAGCGGGCGTCGACACTAACAGTCTCAACCCCAAGTCACACACAGGCACACCCAGCATAGCAACACAAGCATAAGAAATAAATGAATGGGAAGCCCCAAAGTCAAACAAAAGCATCACATCCTTACCAGCAGCCTTGCCCTTCCCTTTCACTAGGTCAAAAGAAGTCGAAGCCTCAACACCCGTCAAAGCGAACACCCTACCAGTTGTAGTGGGTCTGTCACCCCTTTGAGTCTCGGTCCTCTGCACACTACTCCTCTGAGTATCAACTCTCTGCGCATCACTCCTTTGAGTACTTCTCTCTGGTCTACTCCTGGTGGGACAGTTGAAAGACACATGGCCCATCTGCTGACATCTGAAACATCTGCTCTCTATGTGTGGACAATCCCTGATCAAATGGGATCCACCACACCTGTAACACCTAAGGGCAGCACCTCCACCCTGTCCTCCTCCTCTGGTAGTCTCAGCAGGTTGCTTAATGACAGGACCCCCTTGCTGTGGCTGGGGCCTATCATACGGCTTCCTCTGACTTCCACCTCCCCTCTTGGACCCAGCTGGTCCCTTAATAGCTCTGATCACACGGTTACCCCCTTCCAACCTCTCCACAATCTTTGCCTTCTCTACTAGGGCAGAAAACTCGGTGATGGCCATAGGCACCACCACCTTCTTCAACTCATACTTTAGACCCTCAGCAAACTTTCTGCACTTCCAGGCCTCAGAAATAGCCTGTGAATAAAAATTAGCCAAATGTTCAAATCTCATCGCATATTCCGACACAGATAGCCCTCCCTGGTGTAACCGCATGAACTCTGCCTCCTTGGCGTGCCTCACGCTCTCCGGGAAATACTTTTCCATGAACACCGTCCTAAAGCACTCCCAGTCAACCGTAACTCCTCTCGCCACAAGCATCTGATAAGTGTCCCTCCACCAATGTTCAGCCTCTCCCACAAGCATATACACAGCATATGCCAACCTCTTCTCTGGAGAATATCCCAGAACGGCAAAAATCTTCTCCAACTCACATATCCAGCGGTCAGCTGCCTCTGGATCTGCATCTCCCGCAAACTGTGGAGGATGACACTTCCGGAACTCAGCTAGGTCCCGGCTTTCCTGTGACCCCGTGGGCCTTGCTGCACCAGCTGCAGCTCTTTCAGCTTCCATCCAAGCAAAATAAGCATTTTTTTGCTGCATAGCCATAGCCATCATCTCTATGGCACGGGCTATTTGTTCGTTGATTCTAGTCATCGTCTACAAAAATAACAACATCTTCAGTATACTACCACTCAACCAATCAACAATTAACAACACAACAATTCATCACATCAATCCACACAGCAAATGACACAACAAGACAACACAACCCAGAGTTAACACAACAAAAGCCTAAAGGGACCACCCCCAAAGAGTGTCCACTAGACTCGACCTGCTCTGATACCACTAAAGTGTAACGACCCGGCTGGCCACTACACTCACAACCACAGCGCACCGGAAACACTAGACAGAATAGAACGAGTATATAAATATAGGATCTAGAATATAAATATATACAAGGGTCCCAATCCGACTAGAGTTAGGGTGTACAACACAAAAATACATCCAAAGCCACTATGCTAAGTGGCTGAAACAAACAACACATTAAAAGGAGTCAGCTACACCTGCCAGCTACAGATACACCACCTATCCCTGCTCTGCTCCCTTACATAGTATGATCATTACAGTCCAACCACATGGAAAACAACAAAAGGGTAAGCTAGCATAAAAAGAAACCACATATAGGAAGATTTAAGTAATAAGAACAACTACAATTTATCAACACGTCATCAATATGCATCCCGTCAATCCTTACAGCATAATCATCCATAAGCATACAATGCATCGTCACGCATATCAACTCGGAGATCTCCTACAACAACTCAGTCTTTCGGCCTACAACAACTCAGTCTTTCGGCCTACAACAACTCAGCCTTTTGGCCTACAACAACTCAGCCTTTCGGCCTACAACAACTCAGCCAACATACAACACAACACAACACATCATTTTACAACACATCAACACATCTTACAACAATATTCATCTAATACAGCCCAACATCATCAACATCATTATCTACTAGTCACCACATCATATTCATTTATTTCAACTCAACTTATCATAAAATAACATTAACCATCAAATATTAAAATCTCATCTTCGTGCCCGGCGCACTCGTGGTTGCGCCCAGCGCACTGCAACCCGAGAGCACCAGGGGACCAGCACGCCCAGCGCGAGTATGTCCGCGCCCGGCGGGACTCAACCAGAGAGCCCAAGGCTCTCACACGCCTGGCGCAATAACCAATTGCGCCTAGCGCACGCCAGGCAGAGACTTCAAGGAGTCTCACACGCCTGGCGTGCCCAAACCCGCGCCCAGCGCAGGGAAGGCAGAGATCTCCCTTGGTCTCGCGCCCAGCGCAATTTGAATTGCGCCCGGCGCCTCCCATGGCAGAGACTCCAAGGAGTCCCCGTGCCCAGCGCGACCAAAATCGCGCTCAACGCCATGCTAGAAGCCCAAAAACAAGTCACGACTGACATCGCGCCCAGCGCGGTTCAACCCTCGCCCGACGTGGGCCATCCAGAGGCTAACATTTTCAAGCACGCCCGGCGCACACATCTTTGCGCCCGGCGAGCTTACTTAAATGCTGCCTTCAGATGGCCACGCGCCCGGCGCGAAGAACTGCGCCCAGCGCGAGTTCAGCAGCAAATCCCAATTTTTTGAAAACTCTTCAAGAATCTGCAAAAAAAAATCAGCAAAACTCCACATGCAATCGGTTCAAATTATCACATTTCCATCTAATAGTCCAAAAATGCTACCTGTTTACATGCAACAACAGAATGAGAAAATCCCCGATTTCCCCCATAACTCCCAACAACCCCAAAAACTCCATGTTACACCCAAATCAGCCAACAAATCCAACACTCTCAACAACTCAATGAGTTCTCAACCCCATTTCAACCAAAACACAGCAAGAAAGCTAACTTCCCTTACCTCAGGCCAAAGATCCGAGCTTCGGGATAGAGAGGATGTAGAAGAAGATTGAAGGAAGCTTGAACGAAATGAGAAAGGAGGAATAAGAGATTCGCAACACACTAGCTGGATAGAGAGGATGAAGAAGAAGATTGAAGGAAGCTTGAACAAAATAAGAAAGGAGGAATAAGAGATCCGCAACACACCAGCTAAAAATCGATTACTCCGTACAATCACCTTGTACAACCAAAGAAAGATCAAAAGGGAAGGAGTGAGCAAGAGAGTGAAAAGGGAAAATGAGTGAGAGTTGGGAGGGAAGGAGGTGTATACCAGCTACGGGTCTCACAACTTCCCCAACAACAAAAGTTTTCGTCCCCGAAAACGGACTTACTTGGGAAAAGAAATGGGTAACGTTCTCTAAACTGCTGCTCCACCTCCCAAGTAGCCTCACCGGTAGCTGCATCCCACAATATTTTTATCAGAGCAATTGACTTGGTTGGGAGGGAAGGAGGTGTATACCAGCTACGGGTCTCACATTACATGATACATTAATTAAATTCTACACTAATTATTATAAAACTCTTATGTATCATACCACCCCAAAAAAAAGTAAATACAAATTAAATTTTAAAAATTTATAATTAAATTATATTTTTAATTTCTCTATTTATATTTAACATTTAATTTAATTCTACTATTTTTAAAAGTTTAATTTGATTTTTAAATTTAAAAAAAAATAGTATTTTTATTTTATTTAAATTAACATAAACAATGTTAATAAAATTAGATTAAAAAAGTAACATTAAATATCTTTTGCTAAAAATTAAAAAATAAAATTAAATATTTTAAAAATAATGGAATCAAATAAAATATTTTAAAAAATTTAATTTAATCATTTAATTTTTAAACAATATTTAATGTTATCTTTTCGTTAAATTTCGTTAATATCATTAATATTAACTTGCATAAAAAAATAAAGTTGAATATTTTAAAAGAAATAGAAAATCAAATTAAATTTTAAAAATAAATAAAGAGATAATAATATATATAATTTAGTAAAAATATTTTTACATAACTTCCCAAAATAAAAATAAAATCCAGGCTTCGGTGTTCGGTCACGGCAGAATATATATATATAAGAGTATAAGAGGGAAAAAGCTACAGCAGGCTATCGGCACCTTGTGTCCTCTCCACGTACCTTGAAACAAACGATTCCCGCAATGCGTCCTCCGCGTAAGAAGGTCGACTTCCTCGGCGGCGACAAAGTCGAGGTCTGCAGCAACGAGGACGGCTTCCTCGGCTCCTACTACGCCGCCACCGTCCTCTCCCGCCTCGACAACGGCCTCTACGTCGTCCGCTACGACACGCTCCTCCAGGACGACGAGTCCCAGCCCCTCTCCGAGACCCTCTTCCCCAAGGAGCTCCGCCCCGCCCCGCCGCCCCTCCCCGCCAAGGACTTCTCCCTCTACCAGCGCGTCGACGCCTTCGACAACGACGGCTGGTGGCTCGGCCAGATCACCGGCCGCTGCGACCACTCCAAATACTATGTCTACTTCGTCACCACCAATGAGGAGATTGCCTACCCCGCCTCCCGAATTAGGGTTCATCAAGAGTGGCTCAATGGGGAGTGGGTTTTGTCCGATTGATCCACCGCCATTCTCTTCTACCATATGGGAATGCCAATTGTACACTCTCTCTCTTCTTACTACTTACTAGCCTCTAATTTGTACTTTACATTGCCAATCATGCTAAACGCTGCGTTTCCATTCTTTTGCTTTTCTCTAACTCTGCTTGTTCTTCTTCTTGTCTCGACGGATATTCCATTGCCACTACAATAATAATCGCTTAATTCGACAAAATTCGCTAAATTCTTTCTCCTGTAGCTCATTGTTACTTGATGAATTAAAATAATTATGGATTTGATTCTAATGAATTCCAACACTGATTGATCATGCTACTCTGAAGAGTTTACAAGAGCCCTCAAATCAGATGAAGATATTTTGACAAAAAAAAAAACTATGGGTTTGGTGGTTTTCTTTTTTCTTGATAATTTTGAGTTTTTATATTAATGGGAGGGTTTGAGAAACCGGGGGCTGGGGGCGGTTTCTTGAAGAGAAAGAAACTAGTTGTTGGAGTTTTTTGTATGGTGCAGTTTTTTGACCTTTTGGGTAATCGTAGAAATGTGTGGCTTTGGGGACCAATGAGAGAAAAGTAAAAGGGCATTGGAAAGTGGGATTATTTGATAATTTCATTTGCAATTTGGTAACACTAGCTCTCTTTTTTTTTATTTATTATTTTCTTGGTGAATATATATTATATTATATTCAATAATGCTAACTTGCTGGCTTGGTTTTTCACTTCACCCAATAGGATATTACCGTGATATGCTACCTACAATTGGGATGAAACTTGTGAGGTTGTTTATGGTTTTTGCATACGATGATTAGTGAATCTGTGAATGTGTCATTCCGATGATTTTAGACCATATTCAGAATATATCAGGTTTTTACATTGAAAAAAATAATGATTGAAATCTTCTTGTGTTGTTATAATGTACCCAAAAAAAATATATTTTCTGATTTCTAGTTATTGTAATAAATATATAAAAAGGTTTCAAACTCCTGCGAGGAACTAGTACACCACCTTTACCCATGATGTGCGTTTTCTGGTTCGTAGTTACTTTTGTCTTCCTTTGTCATAAGCAAAAACGAAAAAGGTAACATCATTTTAGTATGTCTCTTAATTTCTCTCTCTTTATTTGTTGCCATATCACATTCACTAATTGTATTAATTATTTATCTTTCTTAATTTCTTACTATCTTTATCCTTTTGCAATATTACAGTCACTAATTACATTAATTATTGTTTACCTTTCTTTTCTTCGTGCATTTATTTACATTTATAAAGCTGCTCATCAATTCTTTTCCTAAAGGTAAAATGACCCAAGCAAAACCAGTGTGCTGTACCTAATGCTTATAACAACTGATCATATACACAACGTTATGCAGTGATATATTATATACACGATATTATATCCAATGTATCATAAAAATAAAAAGAAAAATATTATATCCAATGTTTATAAATTGCTCATTTCAGGAATCATTATAGTTGTTAATTGATATAATGCTAAGGAGTTGGAGAGGTATACATAAGTTTCTTTAGATTTGATAAAATATCTAATACAACATAGAGATAAAAAATAAAAAAAAATAAAACGTTGTAGAGTTTTGCTAAGTATGTTGTAATTTGTATAATAATAATGAATATATAACTATAATTTAAAGAAACATGTGATTTTTTATTTGTCCTTATACATACAATTTCTTTTGTTCCTAATAATTATATAAATTTTTTATTTTAGTCACTATAAAAATAGATGATAAAAAAAATGTATACGAACTTAAATAAAATATTTTAAATTGTAGGGACTAAAATGTAAAATTTATAAAATTATAAGGATAAAAAAATAATTAAATTCTTTTGAGATTTAGAAATGAATATCTTTTTTAAAAAGTAAGTAAAAATCGAGTCACTTATCAAGACATTTTTAAGTGGTCTTCGTCTTTTCAAAGGTGAAATTAGCTCCTTATATCTCCTGATACATCTCACACACTTATATTAGGCAGACCTATGACTAACATCGACAGATCTCTCTCATTATCTCTCATTAACCCTGTTATAAAACATGCTAATGGAATCATAATAAAAAAACTAACTAACTACCCGTTTTTCTAAATACAAATATTAAAATTAACAGAGGATTAAAATCATTTCTAAGGTCGGTATTAAAATAATATTTTATCATATATAGAATTTTTTTTTCCAGACAAATGCTTTAAGATTTCATCTCATATTAATTTGATTAAGTTGAAAAGTAAATAAAGCTTGTAATAATTAAATTTAGATACTATCCAATCGATTGAATCTTAAATTTAATAGATTAATTACTTGTATCTAATATTTATCGATACATAGAATAAAACATATTTAAATTTTAATGAAAATCAGCAGGACTTAAAAATACATCTTTACCAAATTACACAAATAAGTGTCGAGATTAAGTGCATGTTTAGTTTCTATTTTTTAACGTAATTTTTTTTTCTTTTTCCACGTTCAATTATGAATTTGTGGAAGTTAGTATTTACTACTTTCAATTAAACGTGAAAAATCACGTCTCCAATCCAAACACACACTAAAATCATGTGTTACGCAACTACGCACTAAAGTTTCAGGATCGCGAAAAAGACATCATTCGGAAACGAGATATTTTGCAAAGAGTGTCTGGCAACTACCTTGGATGTGGGAAGATAACAGACACACAATTCCACGACCATACCTTTCTATCCCTTCTTCACTGCATTGCATTTCCATAACCCAAAAACAATGGCACTTGTGAGCCACGTTAGTGTGAGTTGTGCAGCCACACCGGCGTCACCAGAGTCTCCAAGTTCCGCACCCTTGCCGGACCCAAAGCAAACCAAAGTCATCCTTCCCAAGAAGAAGCCCATGAAATGGTCCACCGGCGTGGCTCCCGGGGAGTACGGCGGCCCTCCGACCACCACCAAGCTCCGCAAGTACTGGGGCGGCGATGACGAGGACCCTTTGGCCTCCGATGACTTCATGTGGAACAAGGAGTTTGTGGGTCGCTTCAAAAAGTTGATTCAGGACCCTCAAGTTCAACCCCCTCCTGCAAAGGTCTGAACTTTGAGTTAATCTGAGGGCTTACTCACCCAGTGGGGAATTTTTTGGATTCTGCTGTTGTGTTGGTGTCTTGTTTTGTATTGATGTTGGGGAATTAATTGTGGGGGGATGTTTGCTGGATGGTTGTGGTGATTGCTTTGTGTTTTGGGGTTTGAATTTGAATTTGAATCTGTTTGAGTAAACTTATCTGGAAGCATTTCTAAGATGCTCTCCTTTTCATTCCTTGGTGAATTAATAGAATAGAGACTTGTTTTGGATAAGAGTGAAGCAGTGTCGATTGATTCATGTAGCTGACTCCACCTAGCAAAAGAAGGCCTTTGTTGTTGGTGGTGGTGACTTAAGAAATTTTGGTGAATGATTCGAGATTAATAAGTTCATTTGTTTCTGTGAGTTGGTTCTGACATAAATAATGTTTATGCTGGCAGGAAAAGCCTTCAGGGTTTCTAAGCTTAAATAGAGTGATGAGCCTGGACAGGTCTCTTTCTGCAATATTTAAATTCAAGTATTCAAATTTGGTTGCATCATTTTATTGACACTTGTTCTTTCTTTATCTATAATGTTATTTGAATTATGAACTGTAGTTTGGAAGTTGATTTAAGCAAAGAACTTGCAGCTCCTGTAAATCATAATGTACACAAGCAAATTGAAACAGAAACGGTAAAGAGATTTGTTTCTTCTCTTGATTTTCCCCTTGTTATTATATCTTGTGGATTTAATGACTTATGATATATCTCCAATATTGTAATATTTTTTTCTCTATTGAGTTCTATTTTGGAGGGGGAAAAAAGGGTACATAATACCTTGTATTGTTTTTCTACATGATTCATTTCACTTTTCTTCTACTGAAATGATGATAGGTGACTGAAAACAATAGGGTAAGATATAAATCAGCACCAACACGCCGAGAGCAAGAAAAATGGGATAGAGCTACCAAAGCTGCAACTGGGGGCAGCGTAAGTAATGTTTTGCTATATCATGTTAAATCCCTACCATAAGGATCTTGCTTGTACTTGTTAACTGGATATATTTTCCAGCTTATATAACCTCGGAGAAATTAATATTTACTGCTGTTAGACATGGAACTCGATCAATACTAAACTTTTGAATCCAAAACAGAAACTTGACAACCTATGTACCTTTAGTAACATTTAGAAGTTGATTTTTACTATTCAAAGATCTGATTTAGACTAGTTATAATGCTATAGGATGTGATGTTCCGGGAAATAAGGCAGCCTCGTGAAGATCCAAAAGTACTGGCTGCTCGAGCTAAGGAGCAGTATGATAAGGTACTAAGCAACGTTGTCTGATTATTTTTTCTTCCTTGTTAGAGGTCATGTGAATATTACCCTCCTTCATTGTGGCATTCATCAAATATCAGTTTTTTTTTGTTAATTCTGTTCCTAAACTTATTCTGGTTTCAGTTAAAGACGAAGATGCAAATTCTTACCTTGGGTATAGGTGGAGTTGGTCTGGTTTCAGCTTATGTTTCTTATTCTCCTGAGATTGCAGCTAGGTACTTGGATTCTCCATGCACCTATTGACTTAGTTATTCCAAATTGGTGATCTTCAATCTTTCACTTTCACATGTGCTAGCAAATATGGTTCAATTGAAAGCTAAAAATCAGCCTAATATACAACTATCATCCAGTAAATATACTCAAAAAAGACATATAAACTGAAAACTTCTTGGCACACGGGATATGGCATTGTTCTAGGTTAGTTTATCAAATGAGGATTCTAATGTTTAGCAGTGATTTCACTTGCATTTATATTAAAACATTCTCTTTTTGAACTTTTCAAGAAGCTTTTATTTATGCATTTGAGAATTTTAGGTTGGGTAGAGAAATAAAGGCCTTTTTGATAGTAACAGTATGGAGGGAAAGGAAAGGGATGTTAAGATATTTGCATTCCATGCATTTGAAAACAAAATGAGGAATTTAATGGGAATGTATTGGTTAAATGGTAATATTCCTGAGCATTGAGTATCCTTCAGAAGAAAGATGCAAGGTTTATTCATTTTTTTAATGTATACTTTTCTTGCTTGTATTCAGCTTCGGTGCTGGCTTGCTTGGATCTTTGATGTACATTCGCATGCTGGGAAGTAGTGTGGACTCACTAAGAACTGATGGTGGAAAGGCCCTTATCAAGTAATCTATAGATGATAGATTTACTATTCAGAATTTAGTTTCTTTAGTAGATAAACATCAGTCTTGTTAGAACCAAGAGCATTTTAGATACAAACCTAGAACTTTTAAGAGTTAATCTACTAAAAAAATACTCTTAATTTTCAATAGAAAAGTTTTCAAAAGTTCTCCTAGAAACAGGCTCCAAGACTATTTAATTAGTCACTTAAGTTTCGAATTTTTCACTAGTAAGATTCAAAATTATGTTGTCCATGTTTGAGCTTATACTTATAGCAACCATTACAATATGGTGCTAGAAGAAAGGTAGAAAATTTAACCAAGGCTCATATCTACATAATAATGTTGTTCAAGTATAGTGATCTCTTCAACAATTCCACTTGTTATGCTAATTAGGTGGGAATTGGACTTTAAACAATTTGTTCCTCACTTTTTATTGGGAAAAACTTAGGTGAATTACCATAAGTACTGTAGGTGGTGTTCTCTAATTAAAATTGGTGTTTCACCTTAGTAATATTTATAAATGCATATTATCAATGTCTATATTAAATGTAAATGCATATTACTGAGAAGAAACTCTAATTCTGATTCAAGAGCAATACCAACTGTATCCGAGTTATCTTCCTTTTTTTATTTTACAAAAAAATGTGTCCATGGTCTATTTTGTTTCATTTTTTTCACCTTGTTTTATGTTATAGAAAAACAGAGGCTTATTGGATTTTATCTGCAGGGGAGCAATAGGGCAGCCACGATTACTGGTTCCTGTTGTTTTAGTCATGGTTTATAACCGCTGGAATGCGTAAGTCCTCTTTTGATATGAAATTGTTACAATTATTATTTTGTCAATGAAGTCAATTTAATTTGCAAACAAATTTTCTTGGTCTTGTTTAGGGAAGCCAGGTATATAGCTGTTTGATTCTTTTTTTGTCTCTCATAATTAGTTCAGCTTATTTTGGAGAAATAATCTTTCTTTTCTTATTTTCCAACTTCCTGACAAAATTTTGAAAAAAAGGAAAAACGATTGTCTTAGAAAATAACTTTTCCCAAACATTTTGATTGGGTTAATATGTATTTATCTTAAGATAAGATATCCAAATTCATTGATGTTTGGGTGATTTATTGATTGGATGCATCATTGCCAAATGGCAATGACTTCAAGGCCTAATTGCACTTCTCTTTTAAGAATGGGTGAATGTAACCTAATGCATTTGTATTTATTCATCATGAACCTACCTTAGTGCATTGTTCAATACAAACCACATTTGTATTTGCCAAATGCCAAGGCCTGTTTTTCGTGCCTAACAAGGTTGTTTGATTACAGGATTCTGGTTCCAGAATTTGGATTTATGCACTTAGAATTGATACCAATGCTAGTAGGTTTTTTCACATACAAGATTGCAACTTTTGCTCAAGCTCTAGAGGATGCGATTAATGTAGCTACAAAGAAAACATAAATATCAAGGGTGGAGGGGAAGGATACCTTCTCATTATATTTGGGTTTTCTCTCCCACATTTTGAACATAGTTGTATTTATTATGATTTTCCAATTCCATATTTGGATTATTTATTTCCAGATACTTGGCCAACATTTCTATCAGTTTTCGGTCTCAAATTTTTTCTCCCACATTTAGCATATATTAATTTCATTTTTTTCTCATATCAAGGGACACCCAATTATATTCAGGTAGTACATTTTGAAAGTATAATGTCTAAATATTGTAAATTTGAAAATCGAACTAGACTAATTGGACTGAAAACCAGTCAGCACCAATTTGAATAATTAAGACAGCTTTAGTTACATTTTATTTGTCCCTGAAGTTACATTATTTTGCAAATATCACCTTCAAAGTTATATATATATGGTGATAAAATTGGCTAAATAAAACCAACAAGGCCGAGGAAGAGCTAGTTTTAGAAAATTAATTTTCAATTAATAATATTCTTTTTGTTTATTTTAGTTTTTTTTTATATTCAAATATTTTTAAATAAGTATAAATTCATATATGAAATTTGTGTATAAAAACCTATTTTGGTCCCTTATAATAATTGTTTGTTTCAATTTAGTTCTATTTTTATTTTTGGTCTCAATTTGGTCCCTAATAAATTAATTGGTTGCAATGTCGGACTTCTGTCCAAATTATTTAGATGCAGTTAACTGTTGACCACGTGAATGTCATGTGAAAGCTACGTAGATGCCACGTAATTGCACTCATGGTGTGTAAATTTTGTATCTGGAATTACTCGTTCCAAATGCATTATTTAACACCAACGCATGTAGCAGAACGGGTCATTCTGAAACCAGAACGGGCCGTTCTGGCTTCCAAAACGGACCGTTCTGGATTTAGAACAGGCCGTTCCAGAACGTCAACCAACATAGTGCACCAGTGTGATTCAAAAATCAAAAGTAAACCATTTACACACACAATTTTTTTATCTAAAAAATAATAATTTTAAAAAATAAAAATTATATTCTAATATATATATATATATTTAAATTATCGTATGTATAAAATATAAATTTCGAGGAGTTATTCATTTATTTGATATTTGTCAAACTTTTGTACTTTCTATTTATTGTTTATGTTGATAAAAAAAATTAAAATTGTAAAAATTTATATCACATATTAAAAACATCTTTATATGATAAATAAATTAAACTTAATTTTTATAAGATTTAACATATTTATTTATATGTTTTTATTAGTGTTAAATTATTATTAAGTAGGTTTTTAAGATTGTTATGTAACCAAACATTTTAAAAAATGTCTATGATAGATAAATATATAATATTTATAACATGTATTTTTAACAAAAATTAGGTTTAAATCTGTTAAATTATAATATAACATAATCTGACCTAGTTTATTTTCATCCTTAATCATAATTGTAGACATAAAAACTTGTAAAAAATAACTATAATATATATTTATACTTTTAAAAATTATATAAAATTTTTAATATTACAAATATATGAATAAGTATTGTCCTCATGATCTAAAATTTCTGGATATAATCATCAACTGTATGTGTGGTATTCTGCAACCAGAATGGGCCGTTCCGGTTTCAGAACGGGTCGTTCTAGTTCTAGATGCATGACAAAAATTTGACATCCACGTGACATCTATGTAACTTCCACGTGCCATCCACGTAGCATCCACGTGGCTAACAGTTAACTCCATCTAAATAATTTGGACGGAAGTCCGACATTGTAACCAATTAGTTTATTAGGGACCAAATTGAGACAAAAAATAAAAGCGGGACTAAATTGAAAAAAACAATTATTATAAAGGACCAAAATAGGTTTTTAGCCAACCAACAAGGCTGACGAAGAGCTAGTTTTAGAAAATTAATTTTCAATTAATAATATTCTTTTTGTTTATTTTATTTTTTTTATATTCAAATATTTTTAAATAAGTATAAATTCATATATGAAATTTGTGTATAAAATGTTGTTATTTAACTATTTATTATAAGTTTTTATCCCATAAGATATATATAGTACGATATTTTGATGTTAATTTAAAATTTTATCACACTTAATTTTGTTATAATTTTGGATTAACTTATTACTTACATTCAATTATACTTTTAATATCTTTATGATATTTAATAAGTAATTTTAGTCTTTTAATTTTTGAATCTATAATTTTAGTTCGATATATAAATATTTAATTGTTAACTGTTGAAACTGTACAATAACTTGACTTTAAGGGAGTGTATTGAATTAAAACTTTAATAGATTTAAAAAAATTATTATAAAAAAGTCTTATAATATTTAATTAAGACAATAAAAAAATTTTAAGAATCCTGTCAAAATTTGGTGGTATTCAATTAAGACAAACTGAATTTTTTAAAGAGTTTATCAAAGTCTTGTGATATTTAATAAAGATTTTTTTTTTACTTAAATTTTTTTTCTGGTATTAAAAAATAGAGAGATTTCAATGATTATTTTAAATACTGAATTTTATGATACTTTTTAGTATAATTTACATATAATTCACTTATCAAATAATTTTACAAAAATCTTTGAGATTTCACGTGACTTTTTTTCTCGCTCTATTTCTACTCTTTCTTTTTCCTTTTTTTTTTTTTTTTTGCCTTTCTTGCTTTCCTTTCTTCTTTCCTTTTCTATCTCATTTTATTTTCTTTCTCTATATTCAGCTTTCTTATTTATCTCTTGTTCTTCTTCTTCTCTCTCGCCTTTCTTGTTCCTCTTTCTCTTTCTTTCTCCCTTTTTTCTTTATCTCTTTTTTCTTTCTCTTTTTATTCATCTCTCTCATTTATTTCTTCTTCTTTTTCTTCTCCTACTCCTATATTTTTTATCTATCAATTGATGTATAATTTATCAATATTTATTTTTTTAATTATAAAATATTTTTGTATTGTTAAATATTATGTATTGTTAATTTTTTTAAAATTATTAAAATTTAACTGTTTATATTTAATAAAATTTAACATTAAAATATAAAATTTTGAGGCATATATTAAAAATACTTTGTAGGTAAGGTAATGACTCTCAAAATAAAAGTGAAAATTTCATTTTACGTCATGTATCCTTACTAAATGAGATTAAAAAGATATTTAGTATTTTTGAATCACGTTTTACAATTTTTAAGTCAGTATCTCTTTTTCTATTTAAGATACAAGCTAAACTTGTATTAGCATGTTGTACTACATAACTTTCTTTGCAAAGAATGTTGTTTTGCTAAATTTTTAATTTAATTAGTGGATAATTTTAAATATATTGTTCAGACTTAAGTGCATAAAAAGAATATCTCAATGCATGGAATACTAGTATAACTTTATATATGTGAAGAAATGTTAGTTAGAAAAATATTAAAGTCAGTTATTTGTCAAAAGATAGAAACAAATATTTGTTAAAAGATAGAAAAATTGTACTGGTTTTACTTTTCTTTATTATTTATGTTTTTTTTTTTTACTAATTCTTGTATTACAAATCAATGTTTTCACATGAAATCCATCAAAATCCATTAAAATTTGAATTACAGTCTTAATTAAAATCCAAGTTTTAAAAGTCTTTTAAAAAAATCCTAAAATTCATGACATTCTTACAAAGTCTTTTAAAATCCATTAAAATTTACAAGACTTTTTTCATGCTAAAATTTTCTTTCAAAATCTGCATCCAATACATTCCCTAAGTATATAGTGTAACAATTAATATTTAATAATATTTAGACTAAATTATACTTTTAAATTTTATAAAATTGAGAAACTTAAATTGCATATTTAAAATTTAGGGGCAAAAATGCATCTTAAATATTATAGGAAACCAAATATATAATTTAACCTATTATTTAATAGTCCTTTCAATCCTTATTATATGGTACAATTTAGAAGGTTAAAATGCATTTATGGTCCTACAGTTTTTTTTTCTTTTTTCTTTTAATCCTTATAATTTGATTTACTTTTCCTTTAAATTTTTATAATTTAAAATATTCATTTTTAATCTCTCTCTCTCTCTCTCTATATATATATATATCTTTTTTTCTCTTTTAATCTTGTCATTTATTTTTCATTAATGTTTTTTTGTGTCGTGAAAATCACTTTGATGCGGTGTTTTTGACATGACATTCATTTGTTTCAATACTCTTTTAGTCCCATGATTTTATTTATTTTTTTAGTCCTTATAATTTAATTTATTTTTTCTTTTAGTCCTTATAATTTAAAATATCTCATTTTTGTTCCTATTTGTAGTTTTTTTTTTCTTTCAATCTCCATCGTTTATTTTTCATTAACGTTATATGTTTAGGATGACATAATAAAAACTACTTTAAAGTCACATTTTTAACATTATTTTTTTTATTTGTTGAAGTTACGAATATTAGGTTTCATTGTCCAACTATGGCAACTTTGTATTTGGTTTTAAATCCAAGATTGTGACTACTTAATATTTAGTTGTTCCTTTTATGTGATGAGGGGTATTGTTAAGTCAACTTGAGTCTATAGAAGGTTTAGGTTGTAATTAACATTAGAATAAGTCATTTTTCTTCAAAGAAGAAGGAAGTAAGTTCAATGAGTAATAATAAGATATTTTCTTCAAGGTTACTTATTGTGCATGCAAAAAGAGAGTGAGATTGTATACATCAAAGACTTAGGAATTTTGAGAAAAAATATTAAGATATTGTAATTATAGGATAATGTAATTTTGATTTATGGTTCATTTTAAATTTTGTCGTAGGTATTTTTCTATTTTTGGTTACTATAGCCTTGATTAGTAATTATTAAATTTATCATACAAAATTTACCTATTAGTGTCTTTGTTAGTAAAAATATCACATTTAACTGAATTAATATTACATAAGTATCTTAATCTATCACTATCAATTATATTACACGTAACTTTGAAAAATTAAAATAATTTTTTTAAAATTACATGACTAAAAAAATCAATTTTAAATATAAAAAACAAAAAATAAATGTCTCGTATTTAAGAGACAAAAATACATATTTAAAATTTTCCAAAGCAACAGACCCAGGTCCATGTCCATGGTTGGGCAGTGAAGGGCCAGAAGAAGGAAAAGGGGTCCCACTTGGAAGGAGAGCCAAATAGCTTGGAGCAGCAGATCTTCCAACAGC